CAAAAAAAAATATATTAAAAAAAATGGCTCAAATCATGTTTCATTCTGTTGTACATAGGTCACATGGTTTGGAACTGACTTGAAACAACACACCTATCAAAATAGTTATAAATAATATACTTTTAAAAAAAGTTTTAAAAGTGGTGCAAGTAGGTAAAAAAAGGACTCCGTACAATGCTGGTGGAAGTGGACTGCCAGCTAGTGAGCAGTCTGGTGAAGGCCTAAGAGCATATGCTTCTCTCTGGCTGGAGAAACTCCCACACATGTGCACAAATTCACACTGTCAGCAAACAGGAAAAAAACCCAACCTAATAAAAACCTCTTCGGTCACTAAAGAGAACAAACCACTGTGAGGATTTTTCTTCAAAAGAGAGTAAAATTAACAAATTAAATCAGATCTACATCTACATGGCTAAACTGCAAAATTATGATGAATAACAAAAGCAAACTGCACACAGTGTAATAACATTTAGGTTATCATAAAAGCAGTATTTTTTGAGAAGCAGAGAGGACATTCAGCTCTGTTCCCTGAACCTGCAGGTCCTTTCCTAATTCCCAGGTTCCTCTTTATATCAAGAATATAATCATGCAATCAAAGTAAAGGATTATACAATGGCAGTTGACAAGATTTTTTCCTCTGAAAAAGGAGACATTAAAGGATTTTGAGTTTTGTACTTGAAAATTTAAAACGAAAGGTAATTTGTTAATGGTAGTTTGTGACACTTTTTTGCTTGGCTCCACAGTCAACACTCTCGGCACCAGTAGGCATGGGAAAGTCGGCTGTTAGGGACCTCTCCAAAGTACTGAAGAGCAATGGTGTCTCTCTGGAGACTAAAGTGCGTCTGACACAAGCCATGGTCTTTGCAATCACTTTTTTTGCACCAGAGAGATGACTAAGGAGGATAGAAGGAAAATTGATGCCTTTGAGCTGTGGTGCTGGAGAAGAGTATTGAGGGTACCATGGACTGCTAGGAAAACAGATTCATCCTGGAAAGGGTCAAACCAGGCTGCTTCTTGGAGGCAAGGATTCTAAGGCTCCGTCTAACACACTCTAGACATGTTGCAAGGAGGGACAGGTCCTTGGAGAAGGACATCGTGCTTGGTAGGGTGGAAGGACAGCACAGAAGGGGAAGGCCCTCTATGAGGTGGATTCAGTGATTGGGGTAATAGGGATGGGTGTATCAGAGATGGTGCGATTGGCACAGGACAGAGCAGAGTTTAGGGATGTTGTACATAGGGTCGCTATGAGTTGCAAGCGACTCGACGGCACATAACAACCCTAGAGATGTCTGCCAGGGCATCATGAGAACGTACAGGTGGAAATGAGTCCTGGAGCACACCAGGCCAAGGCAGTGAGTTTGCAAAGGACTAGGAGATTCATTGCTTAGCCAGAAGGTAATTTATGCACTGAAATAAAAATATTGATAAAGAATGTCTTCCAGGACCAACTGTACCCCACTGATGAAATAAATGCTAATCCTCAATGAACACTCTTGGTAGCTGCAGCCAGAAAATCAAGACGAATTGCATTGTAAAGTCTCCTGTCAGGGACAGTATTTGTTATTTTTTTTTGGTATATATATATATATATATATATAAATTTATTCTAGATGAATTTATAAGGATGGCTCTTCAGGAGACTGTGTGAATAGTCATAGGGGATTACCCAGCTCTGCCTCCTACCAGCATTTTAAGACCAGCTCTTTTAACACTTAGTAACGCTCCAAAGTACTGAAGAGCAACGTCAGACTAAGGTGCACCCGATCCAAGCCATGGTCTTCATGATTACCTGGTATGCATCAAAAACCTGGACAATGATTAGGAATGATAGGATTGACCCCTTTAATCTACAGTGTTCCGGAAGAGTATTAAATATACCATGGACTGCTAAGAGAACAGGTTGTCTTAGAGGATGAAACCAAGCTATTCCTTGGAGGCAAGAATTCTTAAGCTCTGTCTTAAGTACTTTGGGCATGCTGCAGACCTTGGAGAGGGAGGCACATCATGCTTGGGAGGGTGGAGGGACAGAGAAAGAAAGGAAGACCCTCAATGAGAAGGATTGACTCAATGACTGGGGTAATGGGGTATAGTTGTGTCTGAGACAAAAAGGTTGACTCAGGACAGAGCAGGGTTTAGGGCTGTGGTACTATGACTTGCAGGCAACTTGACAACACATAAAAACAATTCAAAGAAATACATATGACCTACTAGACACTCTTTTGCTTAGCATCTAGCCCACTGATCCAAGTCTACATATACTTATTTTCTGAGCAAATGTTATTTATCTTCATTGATAACTTGCAGTACCTTCCCCTACAATTATAATCACTAACCACCTGAATAAAAATTTGCTTTTTTGTATATATATATTCCATTTATTCTAGATGAATTTACAAGGATGGCTCTTCAGGAGACTGTGTGATGAGTCATAAGGGGATTACCAAGCTCTGCCTCCTACCAGCATTTTAAGACCAGCTCTTTTAACAGCGGTAAAAACTATTCTGTGCTGCAAAGAGAGCCCAAATACACTGTACTAAGCAAGGATTCACATTTGAGTCCTTCACTTAGCTCTAAAACATGTGTCCATAGGCTTCCATTTTCATCACACCACCTAGACAATCCTTTGCAGCATAAATACTCCTCCAAGATGTGCAGCATTTCTGTTAACTCTTAAAGGATGGATAGGGAACATTAACTGACTTCTAGGGGAAAGGCACCTTAATCATATTCTCTCATTTAATTAATGATGATACCACGATAGATGGTGACAACTTGGAAACTGTTAAGAGCAGCACTCATGAAAAAATGGAGAACTCCCCAAACTAAGAAATCTCTCAAGGCCTTCACAAGGGCAGTCCAGTTCACTTCCTGTGCTCCCAGGCTTCTCCTCACTTTCCAAGCAAAGAATCTGAGATTCTGGGTTTAAAACCTACCCCAACCATGCTGGAAAGCACCACACTGACCTTTCTGGTTTCCCACAAAACTCTAAGATGTTCCTAGCCTAGAAAACCTTTCTTTTGATAATTTCACTTCTAGAATAAGAACATAAATTTTTTTTAAAATGGACAAAACTATTTTTAAATGAAGCACCTAAATTCTCGCACAGTAGGCACAGTGACAAGTATTTTCCTCTATTATCGCATTTATTCATCACACTTGGGCAGATATGCCATCACCAGCCTCATTTTACTGGGGAGAAAGTACCTCCATCCAGGTTAAGCAACTCATCCAAGTTTGTAATTAGAGGTGGAGTGAGGATTTTTAACCCAAGTAGGCAGACCTCTAACAAGGCATAGCTAAGGAGGATACTCTTGTTGTTTGTCAGAGTTGACTCTGGGTTGTCCTCTAACCAGTTTTCAGAGGCTGTAAATCACACAGGAGGAGACTGCACATCTTTCTCCTTTGGAGCCACTGGCAGATTTGAAGAGTTCCTTTTGAGCACAACTTCTTACTACTAGAGCTTCAGCACATACCGGGGCACGGATAGTGTTGCTGGAGTCTTGAGTTGGGGCTGACAGCACCGAACAGCATAGTGGAATTATTTCACACCATAAACATTTACATTTACAAATAAAGAAACAAAACATCTAGGGGAGCGAGCTCTGGTGGCCTAGTGGCAAAATGCTGTGCTGCAACCCTGACGGCACGTAGTTCAAATCCACCAGATGCTCCGCTGGAGAAGGGGCAATCTCCACCTCTACCAGTCAGCTCTGATTTGAGGACACACACACACACAAATTAAAAAAAAAAATTTAAAAGCAAAACATTGGTAAATTTCCATTATATGTAGCACAAAGTATCACAAATTTTACAAAAAAACCTACTTTTTGAGCCAAATTTAATCTCATGGCCCATTATTTTAAAAAGCACTGCTTCAAAAATGTATTTATTATAACTCTAACAGTAAAAAACTGAAACTCAACGGTCAGCAATACAACTAGAAAATGAATACAAATACTAGAAAAACTACTCTCCTTGGAGAAAACATGCAAAAATGGTTACAGATACACAAACACATGAAAATAAAACGGTTACATTAAGACATATGCAACTGCATTTTAATCTTCCATGTATTAAGACTTGTTTGCTCCCACAAACTGAGGTAACGTGATAAATTCTACTGTGCTTTTTTTCTTCTGGGTACCGAAGCAATGTATTGATGTACTAGCTCCTACAGAGCTGATGCGGAACCTTGGTCCAAGTTTTCCAGGTAAGTTTCCAATCTGGTGGCCTTCCCTCACCCAAAAGAACGAGGCAGGCAGACGGAAGAACAGCCCTCTCCACAGTCTTTCAGGAGCGCAGACCTGGGAGGGAGGAGGTGGGCGGCCCTGAGCTGAGTGCGGATCCACGCCCAGGGCGCCCCTCGGCGCCCACGGCTTGCCGGACCTGGGTCCCCACCGGCGGTTGCGGCCTGGCCCGCGCCGCCTCTTCGGCCAGCGCCTCGCAGTACTGCGCCGGCCAGTCCTGCGGATCCTGGGCGTGCACTGCGGCCACAAAACGCAGCACCTGCATCTTGCTGGTCTCCAATCGTGCGCGCGGGCCCCACTGCAGCTCGTAGTCGGCGGGGTCGGTGTGCGGGATCCGCCGATAGTCCAGGTAGCGCTGGCGCACGAAATCCTCCGTGATGAGTTTCTTGGGGTCCCCGAAGATAAAGTGTCTCTGCGCAGGGTGCACGCCGAGCCGGCGCAGGAAGTCCCAGAGCTCGGCCTCGGGCAGCGCCTGACCCCGCATGAAGATAAGCCCCAGCACCACCAGCAGTAGCCCCGTGCCCGGCGCGCCCTGGTCGCCGCGCAGCGCCGCGTCCTCCGCCACCGGTGCCAGCGCGTTCACCAGCACGTACGTGTGCGCGCGCGGCTCCAGCTCCACCAGCCGGTATCCGAACACGTCCCGCAGGCGCTCGGCGGCCAGCCGCAGGAGGTCGGCAAACATGTCCTTGTAGTCTCCCACCACGTGCTTAAGCATGTCGCTGCGCCGCACTGGCACTTTCTTCTGGTCGCGCACAAGCAGGAACTGCACCAGCTCCGCCACCTTTAGCTCCAGCTGCTTCTGCGACCGGAGTCCCGCGGCGGGGAAGACGGGGGTGGGCCGCGGGGAGGGGGAAGCCAGCGAGCCGCCCGACCCGCGCGAGGTACTCGGGGCTTCGTCGGCGCTGCGGCTCCGCTCCCGCTCGCCCCCGGCGCCGGACCGGCCTCGGCCCCGCGGCCTGGACAACATGTCGGGAAGAAGAAAGCGGGAGTCAGGAGCCAAAAGCTGACCCGGGCGGAAAGACAGGGACTACGATAACCGCCAGCGGCTCGCTAGACCCACCCAGCGCGCCAGGCGGGGCGGGGCGGCACGGCGCGCTGCGTCATGACCGAACATGGCGTCACCACGGCGCGCTGCGTCACTACGGCGAACCGCGGGGGAGCTGTTCGCTGCTTCACGGCGGCGCACAAGGGAGGCGTGGCGTCTGGGAGTGCTGGGTCCCACTGCTCAATCACGTGTGAGCATGTAGGAGCAGTTAGTTTGCCTGTGTGGTTATTGTTAGGTGCCTTCAAGTAGAGTACGACTCTGACCCTATGAACAAAGGATCTGAACCCTTTCTTATCCTGTGCCATCCTCACACAAGAGGATGCGTCAATCCACCAGGTGGAGGGTCTTCCTCTCCTTGGCAGAGCCTTCACTCTTACCAGCATCATGTCTCTTTCCAAGAAATAGCCCCTCCTAGCAAGATGCTCAAAGTATGTGAGGCAAAGCCTCATCAATCTTACCTCCAAAGAACAGTCTGGCTGCACCCTCTTCAAGACATACCTCTTTGTTCTCTCGGCCATCCCTGAGATGTTCAGTGCTCTTCTCCAACACCACAGTTCAAAGGAGTGAATTCTTTCTTTCTTTTTTTTTTTTTTTTTGGTCATCCTTAATAATTGTCCAGCTCTCAGTCTGAATCAGACTCAGTCCTCAAACTGACATCATTACTCTTCAACAAGACGGGGAGGTCCCTAACTGCAGATTTTTCCCAGTGCAATGTGCTCCTTATTTCCTGACTACTGGTATCATGTGGATGCAGGCAAGATGAAGTTGTTGACCGTGGCACTGCCCAATGATCCAGGAGTAAGAATCTTTGTTATCTTGACATTAAGATGCAATCCGTACCTTGGGCTTCTGCAACAAGTGCTTCAAGTCCTCCTCACTTTATGCAAGCAAAATGATGTTATCTGCATAAAGCAGGTTATTGATGACTCTCCCTCCAATCCTAATGCTAGTGTTAGTTGCTGTTAAGTCAGAATCGACTCACAGCTGTCCCTCCTGTGGGTTGAACCTTGGGACTTGGGGAATGCAGCACAGTTTCTTACCACTAGGCTACCCTCATTTTGTTGCCTTTACCAAATAATATACCAATGGGGCAAAAATCCTAAAAAAAAAAAATTTAGGCATGTTTGTTAGGTTCCTTTGAGTTGAGTGACTCATGGCCGCTGTCTGAACAACAGATCAAAACATTGCTTTACCCTACACCATTGTGGTGTTGGAGAAGAGTATTGAATATACTGTGGATTTACAGGAGAATAAACAGGTCTGCCCTGGGGAGGGTGAAAAAAACTGCTTCTAGGAGGCATGGATTTTGAAGCTCTGTCTCACATCCATTGGACATGTTACTAGGAGTCCTTGTAGAAGGACATCATGCTAGGAAGAGTGGAGGGACAGAGCAGGAGAGGAAGACCCAGGAAGAGATGGATTGACTCACCGACTAGAGAAATGGTATTAGGTCTGTCAGAGATGATGAGACTGGCTCAGGAGAGGCCAAGGGTTCAGAACTAATGTATAGAGGATTGCTATGAGTTGCTAGCAACTCAATGGCACATAACCCCCTAGGTGCAATCACTGTGTTATCCCATCTTGTTGAGGGTCTTAACTCTTAATTGATTCTCACTTTCTCAGCATGATGTCTATTTTCAAGGAATGGCCTGTTCTGACAACATGCATAAAGTGTATGAGACAAAGCTTCACTATCCTTGACTCTGAGGAGCACGCTGTATACACTTCCTCCTAAATAGACTTGCCTGTTCTTTTGGGAAGTCATGGTTTAGTCAGTACTATTCCCAGCACCACAATTTGAAAACATAATTTTTTTTTTTTTGGTCCTCCTTCTTTACTGTCCAACTTTCACATACATTGGAAGTAATGGGAAAATATCATGACTTGGGTCAGGTTCACCTTAGCCTTTAAAGTGATACCCTTGCTCTTTATCCCTTTAAAGAGGGCATTCACAGCTGATTTGTCCACTGCAACAGTTTTTTTCCCTTCTCTGCTGCTTTTAGGGGTGCTGATTGTGGATCCTAGTAAAGTCAAGAGTATTTGTGAATGGAGAGCACTCAAAAAGGATAAGTGTAGACAAAAACTGAGATTAAGAAAAGGTAAGACCATTAAAGGAAAAACTTTTATTTCTAAATGTGGGCAAAACAATAGTGAAGATCCTGGGTGCTTCCAGTTTGCAAAGATGAGGCTAAGACTTCACCACTCCTTCCTTAGTTGCAGTTTATTCCTTCCTATCAGCACCATGGTTTATTATAGAATGGCTTATATAATCTCAGGGAGCTCTGGTGGCCTATTGGTAAAGAGCTGCTCTGCAATCCCAAAGGTATGTGGTTCAAAACACCAGCTACCCACTGGAGTGTCAGCTATGGGTTGATTCTGACTCGATGGTACACAACAACAACAGCAACATTAGCATAGCAGAGATTGTGAGAACGTGCAGGAACTGTCAAGGTTTTCATCTACAAATCAGATCATCTTCAGCAGCACCTAACAACTATTACTGCCAGTTACTCTATTGCTGCAAGACTTCAACCTCCTGTCCAGTGATTCCAGGTAAAGGAACAATGCTGCAAGCTCTTCTGATGAAGCAAGGAAGAATTTATTATTCATAAGGAACGCTGACAGAGGCCACAGCCTCCCAAAGGTCAGGCTCCCAAGAGGCAAAATGTTCTCTTTATATGCTTACAAGGCATTGGTTGGAGTCTCTTTTCTATTGGTTTGCTTTTACATGATGATTGCTTAGTTAAACACATTGGATAAAGGGACCATAGTTAGGTATACAGGAAGAAAGGTCATAGGTTAGCTCAAGTTTCCACTTTTGGTTACTGGACAGCCAACTCCCAGCTGCTGGACCAGTTTTCTACTATTTATTGCTGAACTTATGTCTCCCTTATGTGGTTAAAGCTGTTCACCCACAGATGCTCCTGGGGTCAAGCCAGCTAAACAGGTTTCCTGCTTTTGCTTAGCTTATGTTCCCCTGAGTCCGGACCTGCCTCACTATTAGGTAAGTACTGTGGTGGCATGGAGGGTTATATATTAGGCTGCTCCTCAAAAGATCTCAGCAGTTGGAGTCCACCAGCTGTTCTGGGGGAAGAAAGATAAGGTTCAATTATGGCTTGTTGTATGTACCATAGAGTTGGAACTGACCAATAGCTGACTCTATGGTGGGTTTTCAGAGGCAGTTAATTACACAGGAGGAGATTTCCCACCCTTCTCCTGTGGAACAGTTGGTGAGATTTGAACTACATGCTTTCAGGATTGTAGCACAGCGTCTTGCCACTAAGCCACCAGAACTCAATTAGGACTTAATCTAAAAAACAATGAAGTTAACCTTGAGTTGAACTGGACTGTAATTTGGTTAATGCCTACTAGTAGTTAAGTTCATAAATGATCCTAATTGTCAAGTATAAATGTTTAGAAGAGCTGGTTTTCCTTCTTTTCACTCTTCAAGCAGATGTGGTGGCATAATACATGTCTGCCAGCTCAAAGAGAGAAGGATGAATGTCTCATCCCATGAAGATTTACAATCTTGGAAACCAGTGGAGGCTGGAATTGACTGGATGGCAATGAAAATGTTACATTTCATCAGCAAGACAACTGGAGACCACAATCACAATTTGAACAGGAATGGGTAAGAAGAACACTACAAAAAGAAACATATGCTCTGAAGAGCTTACTGTTTAATTTTAGGCATTGTTGATCAAGAAATGCGATAATGGGATTCTCTTAAATTTCTTAATAAATACTCTATTAGCCCTAGAGTTCAATGAGAAAGAAAAGAGAACTCAAGAGTATTATCCAACCTAATCTATGATGTGTGTGCTTTGTGTGTGTGTATATATGTGTATATATATTTTAATTGTAAAACTCTAATGGTCAAATGTGAGTTATTCCATTAACTCAGTTGGTCACCAATCTCCATTTTTTGGACACTTAAAAAGAAGAAACACAATTTCCCTTTGTCCTTAAAGCTACACTGGAAAGAGGATAAACTGTAAAGAACCAAATCAAGTTGAATTTCTTTTTAATCCAAATATATTCAGAGGAAAGCAATTCCAAACCCATTATATGAATAATAACTTCAAAACAGCTATATTAAAATTCCATTACTTTTAGTGATATAAAATGTTTGTGATTTAATATGAAAATGCAAACTGATAAAGGCATTAAACTACAGTACTATATGTAAGATAGTATTTCATGTTGTGATGCAAATATGCTAAAAATATGGTAAACCATGAGGAATAACTTTCCGTTCCACACAGGATGTCCAAAACCATATACTCAAGAATCAATGTAATTGACAGAGGCCTGTTAAGGGAGTATGGAGGTGGGAATGTATACATCATCAAAGCATTAAAAAATAATTAGAAAAAACATCTGCTTTGCCAATGAAACTTCAGACTCAAGTTTTAAGAAGAGTGATGCAATCTAGAATTCTACAGAACATCCTTTCACAAAGGTCAGATGTATACTAAGTAAAAATTTTTACTAACCAAAAAAATAAAGAAAAATAGAAAAGAAAAATAAGAAAACCATTCTCAACAACAGGGCCAGTTTTTCAGTGCTTGGTTTTGGAACTGAGGAACAGGTAGATACTAAAACAGTTTTTTTCAGCTGTTTTGAAATTGAGGAATAAGTACAGAGTGAAAATGTTCACCATGACAACACATGATGGATGGAGAAGAGACTGAGGTTGTTAACAGTTACAGCTTGGCTCAGCTCCTCAAACAACACTTTTGGTACCAGAAGTGAGGAAATCAAAAGATGAATTGCATTGGGTAAATCTGCTGTCAGGGACCTATCTTTTCAGACTGCTGAAAAGCAACAATGTCAGTCTAGAGACTAAGGTGCATCTGACCCAGTCCATGGTCTTCACAATTACTTGCTATGCATTAGAGAGCTGGATGACAGAAGAAGGA